CCATATGTCTCCTTTTTTGGTATTTTCATGCAAATTCTTCTGCTAGTTGGGGTTTAGTCCACTTCTATATCCTTCCCTTGAAGGCTCAGGGGTCCAGGATTATCTTCTGTGTCTGTGTTATCTGGTTTTCCTTTTCTTTGTTGAAGAGGGTCTGTGGAGCCTTTCTGCCTAGTCCGCCATCTTGCCGGAACCCCTCGAAAACAAATATTTCTTAAGGAGAACATGTTTCTTAATTTTCTGAAGCGTTGTTGCTGTGCTGATTTTTAGTGTCTCTTAAAAATGTTTTTAAATAGTATTTCAGTACTGGAGTATTTTTTTTTATTTTGACCTCAGATAGCAGAAGCAATATGTAAGGATAGCAGAAGGAAATTGCCTCCTTCCCACCCCTTTTGAGTCCTGAATAGTGTTTGGGATTGTTTAGCCTTCAAGGAGAAGGATGTTAAAGGGCTTCTTTTCTCAGATTCATATCTCTTACTTGTCAATATGATGTGGAAGTTTTAAAAGCAAAATATGTGACTCAGTAGTTACTGCTTTTTCATTCAACATTCACCAAGTGTTGATTGTGTACCTATCTTGTATCAGGCACTGGAGATACAGGAGAGAATAAAAATAGTCTACCTATATTGACTTTACTTTCTGGTGGTGGGGAGACTGGCATAAACAATAAATATATAAGATCATATGGGGGTAAATACTCTCAAGACAGTGAGAGCAGAGTGAGTGTGTAGGATGGAGAAAAACGGGGTATGGAGGCTGTTTTAGATGAAGGAGTCAGGGACCACCTTTTGGAGGAGCTGTCTGTCAACTGAATGAAATAAGGGAGTCATGCATATCAGTAGATGGGAATGAGAGTCCCAGGGAGAAAGAAGAAGCAAGTACAAAAGGCCTTGAGTTGAGAGCTTGTATAGTTGTTCCAGAAATGGCAGATTCAATGTGGCAAGGGTGGCATGTGGGAGACTAAGGTGGTGAGTGATGAAGTTGAAGAGACAGCCAAAGACTAGTTTCCTCAAAGCTTTTTGCTGTGCCTGGAGAATAAGAGGTACCCAGTCAGTCATCTACCAATTAAATACTTACTGAGATCTTCCACGTCTAGCATGAGGTGTGAGGCAATGTATTAGGGTATGTTTATGTAAAACAATAGACGTCTAAGGGGAGCTCTTGTGGCCTAGTGCCTAAGGCATTTGCTGCTAACCAGAAGGCTGGCGGTTTAAACCCACCAGCCACTCCTCAGAAGGAAGACTGGGTAATCTACTTCCATAGAGATACCACCTCGGAAAACCAAGGAGGGGTTGCTATGAGTCGAATTGTCTCAAAGGGAGTGAGTTTGGTTGTTTGTTATAGACGTCTAAGGAACTCTGGTGGTGCAGTGGTTAAAGCATTTGGCTGCTAACCAAACCCACCAGTTGCTCCATGGGAGAAAGATGACACAGTCTACTTCCATAAAGATTTATAACCCTGGAAACCCTATCTGACAGTTTTACTCTGTCCTGTAGGGTCACTATGAGTCAGAATTGACTCAAGAGCAACAGGCTTATAGATGTCTGTTAGACTAGTGTGAAACCAGCATAACTACTAATATTGATATCAGTTTATTATATTTTGCTTATGGACTTTGCCACATTTTTGTGGGCTATGTAGATGAATTGATACAGGGGCTGCAACAGTGGGCTCAAGCATAGCAACAAGTACAAGGATGGTGTAGGATCAGGTGGTGCTTTGTTCTGTTGTATGTGAGGTTGCAGTGAGTCAAAACCCACTTGATGGTCCCTAACAACTACAGGCCAGGTGATAGTTTCTAGCTATATCTGATACTATTCTCCCTGGTAATAAATAGACAAGTAAAAAGGGCTCTGATGTGTACATGTATGTGTGTTTGCAGAAAGATGAGACTTGAAACAGACTGATTGTGAAACAGTCTGTCAACCACAAAAAGGAAATGAAAGTACATTTCTTTCCATATTCTGCAAATGGAAGCTTATGATTATGTAGTTGAGATGTACAGCTTTCATTTTTTAAAAGAATTAGAGAATTCTGGGAAAATTCTTGGAGATATTTATAAGTAAAATTTTAGATAACTCGGAAGGAAGGTTGGGCAATCCTACTTCCGTAGTGATACTGCCTCGGAAACCCAGGGAGGGGTTGCTATGAGTCGGGTTTGACTCGACGGCACATAACAACAACAAAAACAATGGATTATTAATGTTCTTTATCTTGAATAAATACTACTTTTGGCAGATTAGTTTTGGTGGTGGAGATAGTCACTGTTAACTTGATTTATGATTTAATTTAACTTTATTGAAAAAAAAAATCTCAGCCAAAAAGTCCCAAAGCAAAGATTTAATGTTGCATATTCTTTGTAAGAATATTGCTTCTAAGGCATTTTAGGTAACTCTTCCCCTCATCAGAAATGTCTCTTTCAAATAAGGTAAATAAACTCAAGCCTAATACTGTGGGATATCTACCATACTGCTGGGTGACATGTAAGGGAAGAGGGGCTAGCTAGGCCAAGACCTGAACCATATGTGTGCTCTCAGCCTGGCCATCTGAAGTTCCTAGAGAGCAGCATGGTATACAGGTTCAGGCTACAGAGCTGGACTCTGGGTGAAATCCTGTCGCTTACTATGTGACCTTGGGCAAGTTTTTGTCTAACTTCTTTGTGCCTCAGTGTACTCATTTATGAAACAGTCGTAATAATCATTCCTATTATGTTCTGAAAAACTAAATGAACCAAACTCACTGCCGGCTCATAGTAACCCCTCCTTGGGTTTCCAAGGCAGTATCACTACGGAAGTAGATTGCCCAATCTTCTTTCTGAGGAGTGGCTGGTGGGTTTGAACCATCAGCCTTCTGGTTAGCAGTCAAATACCTTAGGCACTGTGCCACCAGAGCTCCTTATTAGGTTCTGAAGGGAGGTTTAAATGAGTTAATATATGCAAGGTGCTTGTAGTGATATTTACCATTTGCTGAGCACTATTATTATCACCAGTGCATAGAGATGAGGTCACGTCTCCTTTCTATATATACCACTGACCTTTGTTTTGAATTCTTTCTCTTTTCAAGGAAATTTTAAATAACTTTTTCATTAGAGTATAACAACTCAGAAGTGTAACATTTCCTAAGTATTTAGTTGGAATTTATGCAAATGAATTCACCTGTGGAATCAGTACCCAGACCAAGAAACACTACCCTTCTCCCCTAGGCCCCTTTTCAGTCAGTAGTTCACCACACCCAAAGGTGATCTCTTAACCATTATCCTGACTCTAACAGCATAGATAGTTTCCTCAAGGTTGTGTTTATATCATTTTTTTAAAACCTGTTTTTACCTGAATGAGGTGTTATGTTTATGTATATGTGAGGTGGTGTGTGATAAAATGTTTTTAAAACTCTTATCTTGTTTTAGATTTATTGGATCCTCTCATGTTAGTGTTTCTTGGTTTCTCTTTGGCTACTCTGGAATATTTTCCAGAAGACCTGCTGAAGGCAATTTTTAACATCAAGTTCTTATCCAAATTGGATTCTCAACTTGAAAGTATGTATCTATATTTTAATTTATTAAATTATCATTTATACTTTATATCCAAGTTTTAGTGCTACTCATACTGAAGCACTTAAATACTAATAGGATTTTGTTTATAGAAGTATTGCATGCTTGTTTTAGAAAATTTGGAAGGTACAGAAAAGTATAAAATAAAAAGTAAAAAATTACTTATAATCTTAGTACCCAAGAGAAAAATAACACTTTTGATGTTGAAGACCATATCTTTCTTTCTTTTCTGTATCTCTCCTACTCTCTTACAAGTAGCTTATATATATCTAAATGTATTTTAAAGCAAAATTTGGATTATTTTTATTTTCACTCTTACATGCTATTTTTTTTAAATCTAATTAATTTTTATATAGTCTGAACAGTCTTCCATGGCATTAAATATTTTTTGATGTCCTCCTTTTTTTAAAAGAAAAAAAAATTTATTGTGGTTTGGGTGAAAGTTAACAGAGTAAATTCATTTTCCATACAGCAGTTCATACACATTTTGTTTCATAACATTGACTGCCATTCCCCACAATGTAACAGCTCTCTTCCCACTTGCTCCCGGTAGTTACCTCTTCCCTGTGTCCTTCCCTCCCATGTACTCCTGCCCCACGAGCTAACTCCCTGTGCAAACACTACCCTTCTGTTCTCCCATGATTGATTTCTCCATGGAGTGGATCTACCTGGTGTAAATGAACACCCCATATGCCTGTTTGTTGTTTGGCTGGAACCTCAGGAGTGAATTCAGTTCCAGATCTGAAGGGTAACTAGGGGCCATAGTCTCAGGGGTCTCACCAGGTTCTATCAGACCAGCAAACCTGGTCTTTTTTTTTTTTTTTTTTTTTATGATTTTGAGTTTTGTTCCACATTGTTCTCCCACTCTATCCAGGATCTCTTGTATTGATCCCCCTCCAAGTGGTTGACAGTGGTAGCCGGGTACCATCTAGTTCTGGTCTCATGATCATATAGGTTGAGGACTGCATGGTCTGCCAATCCCTTGGACTAATTGTTTTCATACATCTTTGGTTTTCTTCATTCTTCTTTGCTCTGGACGAGGAGAGACCTATTGTTGCATCTTGATGGCCACTTGCAAGCTTTTAAGATCCCAGTCACTACTCACCAAGTAGGATGTAGAACAATGTTTTGTATAGTATGTTATGCCAACTGAGCTTGATGTCCCCTGTGACCATGGTCCCAAGCCCACAGGTCCAACTACTCATTCCCTCAGGGTAGCTGGCTGTGATCAAGAAGCCACCACAACCTTGTCCCTTGTCAGCTCTACTATATACCTAGTGATGTCATATTTTTTTAATTGACTGTATAATGTACGTTATATAGATATAATACAATTTATTATCTTGTAGGTTGTTTCCAGTTCTTCACTACTGTGAATAATCATTACAGATATATCAGGGACCTTATCTTTGTCTGTTTCCTTAGGCTAGATTCCTAAATGTGAACTATTAAGTCACTGAAAAAAATGATAACTTTTAAATGTAGTTTTAATATTCACAATTAATGAAAATGATGTTGGAGTTGGTCTTAATCATGCTACTAAATGTAATAATTTTAAAATATAAAGGGTATGTGTATAAATGAATTAATTTTATGAGAATAAAAGCATCAGCAAATAATGGAAGTAAATGAAATGTGAACACATGAGTTATCTTTGCTAGTTCTAATCTTCAAATCCATGAATATTTTATTTTTAATTTCAGTTTTATCTTCATCTCTAAATATGAAAGTTCAATTTCGTCTTATGGAGTTAAACAGAGCAGTCTGCTTGGAATGCCCTGAGTTTCAGATTCCATGGTTTCATGACCGTTTCTGTCAACAATTATATAATAAAGGTTTGATTTTTCTTTTGGCCAGATAGTAGAGCTTAATTATAAAGCAAAATAAGTAAGTAATTATGTCACAAAAATTGACACAGGGCTGATTCCCAAAATGCGAAGATAAGTCACATCCTTACTTTCCCACTTCTCTATCTCTGACATCCATGTGGTATTTTCTCTCCTTTTTACCCTAATCACCAGCATTCGGTCTTTATAAAACTGCTTGCACAGTCCTCTTTGTCTACCTGCCATCCAAGGCTGGTTCCTGGCTTTCACTATCCCTGGTGGGTTCAGTCATTTTCTAGAATGACTCACAAAACTCATGGAAACTACCTATACTTACGGTGACCTATTTTTTATAAACAGAAAGGATACAGTGGGAGACATACCAGGCAAAGTCTGGGAGAGGCCCTGGCAGGAGGCTTCCAAAGTCCTTAGGGACGTGCAGCACCCTCTCCCATGCATGGATATTCTCACCGAGCCAGGAAGAGAGCTCCAAAGGCCAGGGTTCCTAGTCATTGGGATCTCAATGAATATACACGACTAAGTGAATCTGCATGAGTGATTGCATCATGCATCCTCCCTACCTGAAGTAAATTCCCCAGATGTGAGGCCTGTGTGTCCCCAACTTGCCTGGCTATTTCAGAAAGACAGGCAGTGTCTTAATTGCTTGGGCTTTTTTCAGAAACCAGATATAAAAGGGAAAACTTAATTCTTTGTACTGCAGTAATCCATTATTATTAATGTCAAACCTGTATAAGACCTGAGTTGCCTAGAGTACCATGGCCTACTTTAATGAAACTATTTCATACATGAGATTTGTGATATAACAATTTCTTAGGACACTGAACCTCTTTTGGTAGAGAGCAAAGAACTTGTATTGAATTTAGTGTCATTAAGTATAGTGAGGGTCTTGTGTATTTTAAGGAGATTTCAAAGATATTACAAGAATTTTTGACTCAGTAGTTGAAACAGTTTGAGAAGCCTCTCTTTATGCAATTTGGGTTGTTAGAAATATTACCATATTTTTACACAAATAACACACGAGTTGTACAGTTTTTTGCAAAAAGCACAACCCCCATCACGTGTTAGTTTCCTATACGTGCTATGCACATGATATGCGTGTGCATGTTATTTCCGTGGATGCGTTATATTAGAAAATGCTGGAGTCTAATTTTCAGTTAGTAAATTGTGATGCTTTTTATTCTACAACTGAGAAACTTATTTTAAATAAATGAATGATTTTTATTCTCATAAAGATACTGGAAACATGAATGGAGCACAACAGCAGATGTATAAAATGCTAGCAGAAGTACTAGGAGGAGTCAATTATGTAAAAGCATCGGTTCTTACACCTTATTACCACACAATAGGTAAGTCATTGGTAGACTACTGGGTACTTTCAGAAGACTAATTTGAATAGAATCATGGCATCAGTTGGAACTTAGAAGATTGTTTTGTTTTTAAAATAACTTTGTATTGTGATTTGGGTGAAAGTTTATAGAACAAATTGGTTTTCCATTCTACAATTCCTACACATTTTGTTTTGTGACATTGATTGCTATCCCCACAATGTAAGAGCACTTTGCCCACTTCCTCCCTGTGTTTATTTACCCTTTCCATTTGTCTTTCTTTCTTCTCCCTTCCTGCCTTTTGATCCACGGGTAAATGCTGCCATTTTGATCTCATGGTGATTGTTCTAAGGAGTGCATCTCCCTGGTGTAGGTGTTCAGCTCATAGGCCTGTCTGTTGTGTGGCTGAGAGGTAAGCCACAGAAGTGAGTCCAGTTCCAGGCCTGAAGAGTGTCTTGGAGCCATAGTCTTGGGAGTTTCACCAGTCTGTATCGGACCAATAAGCCTGGTCTTTTTTATGATTTTGAGTTTTGTTCCATATTTTTCTCCCACTCTACCCAGGGTCCCTTTCAGAGCAGTCAGCAGGGGTAGCTGGGTATCATCTAATTCTTCTGGTCTCCGAGTTGTGGAGTCTGGGGTTCACATGGTCCTTAGTCATTTGGATCAGTTGTTTCCTTGCATCTTTGATTTTCTTCACTCTTCTTTGCTCCAGACATGGTGAAGGAAGTAGATTTTAACTCAGTGTAAGGAGAATTTCTAAAAGACTTACTGAAAAATGAAGTTAATGGGCTGCTCTGTGAAGAAGTAATGTTCAGAGGTTGATGGCGTGTGTATGTTTGAGTGTGTGTGAGAGAGAGAGAGAGAGTGTGTGTGTGTGTGTGTGTGTGTGATTTCTGCACTTGCCAAGAGGCAGAACCTGATTGTCACATACTCTCAGTTGTTTGGTTTTATTAGTCAGGATGAGATTTGCCTGTGAGTGGCAAAAATTCACAATTTATAGGGATTTAACAAATTAAAAGATGATTTCTTTCTTCCATACACAGAAGTAGTCCATGGCTGAAATGCCAGCTCCACAAACACTCAAGACCCACGATCCCTTATTTTGTTATAATCTACCATCCTCAACATGAGCTTGCGCTTCATGGTCAAAATGGCTGCTTCAGCTTCAGCAGTTTATCTACAATCCAAGCAAAAGATGGAAGAGAAATGAGAAAAGAGTATCCCTTTGTGGTGGTTAAGGTTGTGTGTCAACTTGGCTGGGCCTGGTTTTGAGTAGTTGGGTAGCTGGATGTAGTTATTCCTCATGATCAGACTGGTAATCAACTCCATGGTGGAATCTGTTGGAGCGGCTGAGTAGCTGCCTTGGGGATGTGGTCTGCTTCTAGTATATAAGAAGATGATTTGAGAAAGGTCTCCAGCTTTTTGGCACACTTGGACCCTACATGTAGCCTGCCATGTTGTCTGCCGATCTTGGGACTGTTTTTGGACTGGATTTAGAGGCCTGCTGTTTTGCTTGATAATTTGGGACTCTGCTATTTTACTTGTCAACCTTGGGTTTGTCAGGCTCAGCAGCCAGCAGCTGCCTGAGTTAAGAGAAGCCTCTAGCTCCAGTGGGCTGGAAGCAATAGGCAGAGCTGAAGCCCAAAGTTGAGGGGCTTTCACCCAGCCGCTAGAGCTGGCACTTGAACGCAGACTTCTAGCCTCCTAAACTGTAAGAGAATAAACTCCTGTTTGTTAAAACCACCCATTTGTGGTATTTTCTGTTAGAGTGGCACTAGAAAACCAAACACCCCTTAAACACAGTTCCCTGAAGTTGCACATACCCTTCTTAATTACAGGCAAACCTCAGAGATACTATGGTTTCAGTTTCAGACCACCACAATAAAGCAAATATCAGAATAAAGCAAGTCACACTTGCCTTTTTTTTTGTTTCCCAGTACATATAAAAGTTATGTTTACACTGTACTGTAGTCTATTAAGAGTGTGCATTAGCATTATGAAAAAGTTTGAAATATTGTGAGAATTACCAGAATTGACACAGAGACATGAAGTGAGCACAGCTATTGGAAAAATGGCACTAGTTGTTTTTGTTATGTGCCATTGAGTCGGACCCGACTCATAGCGATCCCTCCTTGGGTTTCTGAGGCAGTATTACTATGGAAGTAGATTGCCCCATCTTCCTTCCGAGGAGTGGCTGGTGGATTTGAACCGCCAGCCTTCTGGTTAGCAGTCAAGTGCCTTAGCCACTATGCTACCAGAGCTCTCTAGACTTACTTGATTCAGTGTTGCCACAAACCTTCAATTTGTAAAACATGCACTATCTGAAAAGCACAATAAAGTGAAGTGCAATTAAAACAAGGTATGCCTGTAATTAATAGGACTGTAATTACCCAAAGAGCTGTGTCTGGTGGCACAGTGGTTAAGCTCTCAGCTGCTAAATGAAAGGTTGGTGATTTGAACCCACCTGCTGCACCATGGGAGAAGATGTGGCAGTCTTCTTGGTAAAAGCTTTATAGTCTTGGAAATCCAATGGGGCAGTTCTACTCCATTCTGTAGGGTTGCTAGGAGTCCAAATTGACTTGATGGCAGTAGGTTTTAGTTTTAGTCAAATGGTCATACCTGACTGCAAGGGAGTTTAGAAAATGTGGTTTTGTATTTGGTTTTGTTTTCTTGGATGGCCACTGTGCCCAGCTATGATTTAGAGATCCCATTATTAAAAATTATGGGAAGAATGGGCATTGGGGAACAACTTGGCAGTCTTTGCCAGAAGGTGGTTTTTTTTTTAAAAAAAAAAACAGACATACTCCCATTTATTGTTAAAGCCATGCTCACACAGAAGGAAATGCATGCAAGTATGAAAAAGAAAATGAAAATGATCTGTAACCCTATGCCATAGAGGGTTTAAAAACAATTTGATATCATGGAGCACCAACTTTGTGACAAGCACTGTTTGACTCTTTATTCCTATTATTTCATTCTTTTTTTTTTTTTTTCTATTATTTCATTCTTTTTGTTTATGTTGTTAAAGTTTCTTTCACAATGGAAATACTACATAGCCATTGTAGAACATTTGGAAAATACAGAAAAGTAAAGAGGAAAAAATAACTTATAATATACAAAGTCACACACATAATTAGAACTGAAATTAAGATGTTCCAGTGGGCACGGGATGATTATTACATCGCATGGCCATTGTATTTCAATTCATATATGTACCTCCTGTTGTTAAGAAGCTTATTTTTCTCTTTTTTAATTTTATTTTGATTTGGGTGAAGATTTACAGAGTAAATTTACTTTTCATACAGCAGTTCACATATACTTTGTCTCATGTCATTGACCAAAATTTACAATGCAGCAGCTCCCCTCCCACTTCCCTCCCCATAGTTACCTC